GACAAGAAATAAGAAAAAAATTTAAAATATTAAGTTGATGTAGAAGATAAAATACTGGTAGAAGTTAATAGTAAGAGGAAGATGTAAGACAAGGAGAAGAAAAATAGAAGGATAAGAAGAAGAAAAAAGAAAAAATAAATAAGGAAAAGAATAGGAATAAGAATAAAAAAAAACAAAAAAAGAGAAAACAAAGTATAAGAATGAGAGTAAGAAAAGGAATAAGAAAAGGAATAAGACAAAAGTAATAAGTTGATGTAGAAGATAACATAGTATAAGTAAATACTTAGAAGATGATGAAGAAGAAACTATACTACTAGCATATTACTATTATGATTATGATTATTATTATTATTATTATTACTGCAGTACTATCAAGGTAAAATGTGCATCCTCTATCATGACAGATTGGTTTTATTAGGGCAGGATCTCAAAGATCATCTAGTTCCAGCAGTTCTTCTTAATATCTTCAGAGTAGAATACAGTAAACAGCTCTCTTTCTCCCTCTGTGAGATCTCTTTCCAATTTCTTTCCATCTCTCTTCTTCCTATTTCTTGTTAATAAAATCTGGATATTGTCATCATATGGTCTCATTTGCACCTCAATTTGGGCACAGGCCTCTCTCCCTAAACTGACTGGAACCCATTCTCTGCCCAGCCTGCCTTCAAAGCACAGGTGCTCCAGCCCTCTGAGCATCTCCATCACTCTCCTCTGAACTCATTTTAGCAGGTCCATGTCCTTCTCATGCATTCACAGATGTAGTGCTCCAGGTGGGGTCTCACAAAAATGGACTAGAGGGTCACAATCACCTCCCTGGACCTGCTGCTCTTCGCCCCTTGCTTTATGTCTGAAAATTCTGTTCAATCAAGCACTGCGTAAAAAACATCATCTCAAAATGCTGAAAGTACTCAAAATAATTATATCTGGAGAAGAGAAAATATTAAACTGCGTCTTACTTAATATATAACAAAGCCTATTTTAGTAATAATCTTGTTTGACACTTCACAACTTTTTCTGGCTCCTAACTCCTCAACCTTTCAAATTCCACTTTGTACAAAAGGCAAAATTGCTGCGATCAAAATCTGCTCCACAACTGTAGTGGTCACATTCTTTTCCTTTATTGAATATTATGCCTGTTTCTTTACAGGATGAATTTGGCAAGGGATAATCTTATTATCCAGTAGACAATCACGTTTCCTGAACATGCTGTCTTCAGTACAACATTACTTATAACCCTTTTAAGGAAAACCTCACATTCACCTTTAGCCATTTTTGTTAAATTAATTATATAAAGGCTACAACTCCCCTCCGGAGAGTAATAATGGCTTTACCAGTCAGCAGTTGAAACATTTCATTACACTACTCTTAAACCTTTGAAGCTCATCTTAAAATAGGCCATTGTTATAAATACTAATTAAGTAATATATTTTGAGGGAAGGAGTTGGAAATGAGTACACAATTACCACAAAAGCAAAAGATAAATGACCAATTTACATTCAGCAGGAGGTGATGCTTGATGTTCCATTAAGAGACATTAAACTTCTTGGCTAATTGTGAGAATCAAGTGAAGGAAGAAAATTTTAACTGAGCTCAATGGGACATTGATTAAGCCAAAATACTAAGATCTCTATTCCCAGTGTGGGTGAAGTACTTAATTTCAAGAAAAAGAGTAACTTGTTTTATTCAGCTGGACTCCACTAGATTTAGCTGGATTTCAACAGATTATAGTGGAAATACTCATTCTGCTAAAACTTCAAATTGAAATATATTTTCTTTTGTTCTTCTATATCTCTTTAATAAATAGGAATAAAAATATACCTGCAATCAAAAGCACTTTTCTGTTAAAAATTATGACATCAAACTCTTCTGCACAGGAAAGGCATCATGTTGTCCTGTTTAATCTAAAATCCTCTCTGTTTTTGGTTGTTTGTAATTCTATAAAAGCTCTTTAATGTATTTTACTCTTAAGATATTAAGAAACAAAAAATACAATTTCTCTTTGCATTTGGCCACTGCACAAACACTTCAAAATATATCTAGAAGATAACACTATTAGGGCTCCAGAAATTCCAGTTTTCTTAAGTTTTCTTTTGATTAGGATATATGAAATCAAGTTTTACAATCTGCAAAAAGTGAATAATGAAGAACAGGCATTATATCTTGAAATAGAAAAGAATATTTACAGTGTCTTTAATTACACCTGTCACTATGTTCAAACTTCAGGGAAATATTTTATCTTCAAAATTTTAAGACTCTTTTCAAATATAAGTCCTTAAACTGTTGTTTGTGGATCCTGCAAGAAGCAAACAAAGTTTCATCTTCTTTGGAGTGACTTTTCTTTTCACACTTTAAATACCAGAGTGGAAAAAAAAAATGTTACAGAAAAGTACCTTGCTAAAAGTATGAGCAGAAAGCTTTTACAGCTGGGAACAAAATAAGTACAAGTTTGGTTTTTAGATGACCTCAGAGAGGTCAAATTTATTTTGTAGGAGCATGAGTGGATTAATGAAAAAGGAGTTCTTTCTTTTAACAGGTTTTCACCAAATGGTTTCCCAAATGCTACATTAGCATCACTAAATGAATGACATCAGCAGTAGTGGTGGTCATTTTAGAATAAGGTGTACCTTAAGTTTTTTGTTTCTTTTCCTACACTTCTTTTTAAATTACAAGTGTGATAACTCAAATGTTTTAGCATGAAAAGGCACACAGGCATAACCTTCTCCTCTTAAATACACAGGGACGAAGACCTACAAAACTTAGATTGTGAGTAAAATAGAATGAGAAATCAGAAACACTAGGCTTATTAGTACAATGTGAATTTTAGCTGCTTAAAATTATCAAAGCATTTATTTCCCATATTGGGGGAAATAGGCTTCAGAAAAAAGGCTTCAGCTTTTAATTATAATGCCACACCAGCAAAAAAAAATCTAAATGAACAGGAGAGACCTGCCTAGCCTACATCTTTATTTTGATTCCAATATCTGTGAAGATTGAAATTAGATGACTTCTTTCAAGCTAAAAAATGTCTTCTCTTTGGGAATATTTTGCTCATTAAATTTTTCACATAGGATACCATTTTTTAATTTCTTTATTTGGTAAATATTTGTTGTTGGCTGCCATAAATGTTGCAAGAAATTATTTTCATGTGAGAAATTATTTTCATCTTGAATATATTTGGACAATCCTTCTAGAAATCCCACAAAGACCCCAAATGGACATATCAAAGACATAAATCTTACTTTTGTCTGAGTGAATAAGCTGATCACAAACAAATCATATTCTGTCAATCTATTAACTTGACAGAAAGAATAATATTTTTTTTGAGAAATACTTCCAAAACTAGAATGACTTTTAAGATTCTATCTCTGACCTCATTACATGAAAACAGGATATATTTATCTGAGAGATGTGTATGGATTTCATCTTTCTCCCCTAGTAATCATTTAGAATTACAATTTGCACTACCCACAGAAATGTAAACAGTGGAAAGCTTTGCTGCTCACAAAAGCAAAAATGCAAAGTTTGACATTTTATCCCTTCTTGACTTGAAAAACTCCTGGACTATGACTTAGCAAGACTTGCTTTTAAATGCTCAATATCTGAGACTTCCTACAGTAGGAAATGTAGAGCAGATTCAGCTGTTTACAGATTTATAGAAGGAAACAAGCTGTATGACTTGGAGAAACAAGAAAGATGGATGAGTAATGACTTATTTTGGATGCCAAAGTGGTAGAGAAAAGCAGAAGTAAGACTGGAAGGATCTGGTGCAAGTGGTGATGGTGAAAGCAAGAAATGAAAGCTGCCATAAAGAAATGCTTTAGATTTAAATACTGTACTCATGTTACTTTATTAAATTGACTCAAACGTTGAAATTTTGCCTTTTGAAGAAAATTGTAATACTAGCAATTTCCCTTCAAGGAGAGGAAAGCACTGCCATCAAAATAAATGCTCTTGTTACAGAAATCATTGATTATAATAGCTTTGTCTAAAATGCCTTCTTACTCAGGACTGACTGATCAATAAATGTACCCAAACCATACTATTCCCTTCTTTTGCTGCTAAATTATTCATTTCAGACATCATGTTCATTCCAGAAGTTCTAATTTTTATAAAAGCTTTCCCTAGGACATTTTCTGCATTGCAGAAAACTCCTCTGGTAGCCATGTGGTTTAGTAATTTTTATATTCTACATAGTCTAAGTATTTTCTCACATAAACACTGCAATTACTTTATTTATTTTCTGTTTATTTGTTTGGCTTTTTTCAGTTTCCACACATTTAGATAATGCTTCAAGAATATGAATTAATTACCCTTTCAGATCTCATTAAAATCCTTGTTGTGCCCAGTTTATATGCCAATAGTGTTTCTGTGGATCATATTTGTAATGATTTACTAAGCATCCAAATACTTGTGTCATATGTGCTGCTGTTAATCTATTTCTTTTTCATGTACTGCTGTTTTAATCAATGGATTAAGGACAGATTTTAAAACATGTCAACTTGGACACAAAGCACATTTATATTTATATTTATATTTATATTTATATTTATATTTATATTTATATTTATATTTATATTTATATTTATATTTATATTTATATCCAGGGTTTCAAGAACTCACCACAAAACTAGAAAAGGGGGCTGGTATTCAAGGGGAACCATGATGGAAAATAAATGCTAAACTGAGTCATAGTCCGAACTCAGGTCATAAACAGATTTTGCTAAAAACAAAAATATTCCAAGAATGAAACACAGCTTTAACAGGAACACTTCAGGCCAGGATACTCTTCCAGAGGCCTTCTGGCTGAGGAAGGCAGTTAAGACTTTACAGCAATGGAAAGAACTGAACTGAAAGAGATTGCAGAAGTTCTGATGCTTAATCATAGAATCAGAATATCACGGGTTGGAAGGGATGCACAAGGATCAACAATGTCTAATTCCTGGCCCTGCACAGGAGAGCCCCAGGAATCACACCAAGTACCTGAGAGCATTGTCCAAATGCTTCTGGAATTCTGTCAGAATTGATGCCGTGACCACTTCCCTGAGGAGCCCAAGTTCCAGTGCCCAAGCAGGATATATACATATCTGTAATAGATCAAATTTTATCTCTATATAAAAAATTAAAATTAAAATAAATTAAAATAAAATAGTTGTAAGTGCTTGAATACCTGTTTGTTCAACTTCTGTCCCCCAAAAAAAGAAAGATACCCTTACCTCTGAGTGTGCCTGATGAACCATGGAATGTCAGCCTGCTGTGGTTGCCAAAAAAGTTATGACATTATTCAATAAAAAAGAAAATATGATTATAATGCTGCCTTTTTCTCCGGTTTATATGTCAAGCACACTGAATTTTTTGGTTGGTTTTGCTGCTTTTCAAACAATTTATCAAGGCACAAAATTGTCACCGAAGAAATGTGAATTTCATTAATAGAATTAAAAATAATATTAATGTTACAGATGTGTTAAAGATACATAACAAATTTGAAATTAATTGCATATAAGATGTGAAACAATAGAATTTTTAATTTTTACCTAGGAGATAAAAGGTTCATTTGCATGAACATTCAGCATTGCAGCTTCCTTCTAAACAAAGAGTAGCATTAAAGCGTTAAAAAAAAAAAAATCTTTGAGAATAAGTAAGCTATCGTTACACAAGCAATTCAATTAAAGTAATCTTTTGAGATTTAATAACTATCTTCTGCAATGATCATAACTTTGAGAGAGGAAGACACAAATTGTTTAATTTTATGGCAGTATTTACACTCTGTTTCACTCTGCTGGCCCATTAATTTATAACCTATATGTTCAAGACAGAAAAAATGGAAACAAACTCAATTATAAACTACGCAGCACAAGACATATATTGGGTTTTTATTTATTCTGGTGTAACTCCAAATATAGGAAATGGGTTTTATATTCTTAAATATATCACACTAACCATTTAGGGCCCGAAAAATCTGTTTTGTGCAAAGGCAGGAACTAGACTTAGTTCTGTATTTCAGCTGCAGCTCTTTGTGGAAACTGTTTCAAGATCAGCAGCCCAAGAAATCAGCTTGAAGGGAACCCATGTGTGAAAAGTATTCTCTGCAAGTCCTCAATCCACTGGAAGAGAGTCTTTATTACAGACAAAGATGGATTTTGCAGTAGTTCTGGCTCATTCTTCAGCAGGAAAGATGAAAAAAATCATCTTATCTGGAACCACCTATAGTTTGTGACCAGTTCATACATCAACTAAGCCTAGAGTCTATGAACTTCTACATGTCTGGGGTGTATTTTTTCTCTGTACATGCAGAATGACTGCAATTAGTAAAGAAAAGTTATGCTGCAGTCTCAGTGCTGTTCACAGCTTCCCATGAAGCACTGTTACCTGAATTTGCCTTTCCACGTCTCCTGCTGTTCCTTCTGCCTTCACCTCTCGCTTTACCTGTGTCTGCTCAAGCACAGTACTCCTCTACTCTTCCACTCTTCAGCCTTCATTTTCCCAGGGTACTCTGTCCAGAGGTCAAATGGTGCTGATTTCTGACAAACCACTTGTCCCAAAAGGTTATTCCAACCAGACAAATCCCCTTATCCATCCTCATTGAGCACCAGGCACTCCTGCAAGCAAATGCAGCAGAATCACAGGACAAAAGCATCCCACAGACTGTCAGTCACCTTTGAAGTAGCCTTTTGACAAACCTTACTCTTGACAAATATCACAATTTCAACAAGAGCCTCTGTGCTGCACAGAGACTTCTGGAACAGTATCTCTCATCCCCTGAACGGTTTCGGGGAAGATGAGGAAGAAGGCTGACGAGAAGAACTGATAATTCATTCAGACAGGGCAAGGGCTCAAAAGGTTTGAATTCAGTATAATATTTGAAAAGCAGTCCCTACACACTGCTCTGTGCAGCTGTGAGCTGGAACAGAGGGTCCAAAGTATGATGTACTCATCAACTCCTTTCTGAGAGCAGCAATACCAGGCAGTTCTGGGAGAGAGATCATCAATAAAAGCCTTTGATGTGATGTCTACTGCCAGCAGCTCACTTAAGTGACTCACTCTCATTCCAAATATCCAATAAGGGTTAGATTAGAATGAGATGTAGATACAAGAAATTACAGCAATGATTTTTTGAGTGCCTGCCAAAAAAGAAATAACTGTAACTCAGAGAGGAGACAACAAAGAGAAATATGAAGTAAGTCTTGCTCTCTATATTTTGTAGTAGAAAAAAAAATAAAAGGGGAAGTGTGAAAAAAACCATGGGGTAGGTTCAAAATAAAAAGAAAAAATGAGATGTTTCATGAAGCAGTATGTATTGCACTGTGGAGCTCAGTTCAGTTTTAAAAGCTGGAAGAGATTCAAAGAGCAAATAGACAAATCAACAGAATGTTTATCTGGGAAAGGGTGCTTAGGACAAGGGCATCCCCTCCAGCTCCAGATGCCCTGAAGACAAGAGGCTATTCTGTGAGCATCATTGTGTGTTTTGCTTGACTTTACTGCCTTCCCTAAACTTCCTGAACTGTTTGTTGCTATAGGAAACAGAATAGCCCAGAAGAAAGTAACTGATCCCCTGTGCTGTTCTCATGCTTTGAAATTCAATGAAATGAACTCACTATGTTTTACAGTAGCAACCTTCTCATGCAGCAAACAAGTGCCCTGAGTAGTTAGTAGCTCCTTGCCTTTTTATATCTCATTTGCTCAATGGACATTTGGGAGCACAGTGAGAAAATCACCCAGTCTGGTTATCTGAGTTTATATGTTATGTAAAATCAGAGTTGATTTGGCTTTTTCATGAGACTGATGATTTACTTTTTACTTCCGAGCTATGCTGGTACACAGTTTGCAAGGAAGGAAAATTCAGGATATTTTGTGCCTAATGCTAGCTGTAGCATGATTTGAAAAATATAAAAAAATAATCCTACAATCAAAAGGAAGGCAAAGGCATCAAAGAAGATCACAGGAGGATATAATCTTTATCACTAGATACATAATCTCCTATCATAGCAAATACAAGTCTGATACAATCCATATGATTTCACTATCATTACCACTACAAAAACTAAACAAAGAGTAGCAAGAAAATGTGAGGTTTGCCAATTTTGTCAAAGTTGTCTTTTCCCCTAGAAAATTCCTCAAACCTGTTGGCAAACAGCAAACAGCCCTTCTGAAGAACTTCAAATGCTTCACACAGGAGGGGCTGGCAATCCCCCAAAAGCAGGCTTACTTCCATTGTGCTGGCTTTCTTCACTTCTAAGGGCACAAAATCCAGCCTACAGATTTTGTATAAATCAAAGGGGCACTGAATACCAGGGGGGAGCACCCCCAGCTAAACAGAAAACAAAATACACTGCATTTTACCTCCTCAGCTAAGGGCAGAGAAAACTTGCTTTTCTCATTTAGTCTTGACTTCTTTTAGATGTTTCCTGAGTCTTCTCAGCTGGTTTTGTGAGCAGACAGTCCTTACAGACCCATGTGCCGTGTCATGAAAGCAAATAAGAGAACCAAAATGGACAGAAAAGTGAGGCAAATCTCCAGCACTAAATCTCGTGCATCTTATTTTACTTTATCAACTTTGCCAAATCTTCGTGCTCCTGCATAGATACAGAATAAAACAGTGCTCCTTGCAATGGCAATGGAAGTGAAGGTGGCCTGGTGTGAAGCTTTGGGTCCCACCAAAAGTTCCTTAGACTATCAGTTCCTCTAAAGAATCAGTTATCAATCTTCTTAGTGTTCTTTAATGAATCACCTAAATAACATATTCTGCCATTTAATATTTCATTTAATTTTGTGATCAAGTTACATAATGCATACATCAAATCACACTATCAGCTGATTCTTCATTGACTTATGTACACAATTTTCAGTCTTATTTCCTGTTTATACTAAAGCTTGAATAGTATATTTTAATTTAAGGATGCACAGAATTTTGTTTTGAAAATTTTAGTCACAAAGATATGTGTTTTGTTGATCCATTTTATTTTTTTTAAGGGTTTCAACAGACTACACCTTAAAAGGTGTGTTCCACATTACCTGTTGACATTTTACAAACCTTTATTTAGCAGAATGTATATTTCAGGATCTGGATGTCTCATGTTCTTGCTGAGCTGCATATCTCATGAGCTGAACATACTTTACCAGTGGAGATTTCCAGCACAAAGTTTCCTGTACTTGACCATGTAAATGCATGCTCCAGATTAAATTATGTGTAGTTTAGGTGAAGACAGACTTTGTAAAGCAAGACTGAGCTGAAAATTTAAATGCTATTTCATAAATTCATAAGTCCCAAAATGGTTCTCATTAGAGCAGTTTAATCTTGCTTGTTAGAAATGGATTTCACTGTCCATAAACCCATACAACCAACCAAGATTTTACTTTTAGGTGTCTTTTTTTCTTTTTTTCAGATTCATTAAATGCCTTTTGAAACTTTTCAATTTGTCTATTAGTGAAGATACTTTTTGCTGAGGGAACACATGATGCAGACCAACATGTTAAGAACAGTTACCAATACTTCATTTCCATGTGGCACACAACTGGAAATCTGCTCTTCCTCACCGATACTTTTGCTTATACATAACAAACTAAAGCCTTTTCCCCAAACATGGAAAACAAAAAATCTAAAGTTGTAATGTCTTAACACCCCATACTCATCAGAAAGGACATTACCTGTGATTCTGATCCAGCCTCTTCCCTGGACAAACTTGTGTCTTGAAGTTTTTAAGTGAATTATAAAGAATCACTGCAATAGAAAACAATTTCAAATGATGGTATCAGTAGGTTGGAGGCAGAGCAGTGGGACTTCCAAATTTCTGTAGTTTATTCATTTGCCTAAAATCCTGATTCATAGCATTTAAGGACACTTTCTACAGTGTTTTATATAGCTGGTGAAAAAATGAATTTCTTAGAGCAAAGAGAAATGGCCTAATAGAAACAAGAACCAACACCAAGAGAAAAGATATACTAAGAGGAAAATCTTCTCTGTGACATGTCTCCTTGGTGTACCTGATCTAATAAATAATTTTTAGAGTAAGGAACAGCTTCCACCTTCGAAGGAAGTCTGCAAAGCCCCAATTGGTGCTTCTTGAGATCAGAGAAAAGGCTCTTACTGACTTCTGTAAGACATTTTGGAGTGCCTGTGATTTTCTTTTCATGTTCTAAAGGAAGAGCCAGGAAATCTCTCTGCTTTTACCTTAACACTGGGACCAGACATCATCTAATGAGGACAGCACTTCTTTTCTTTTTGTGCCAGTACTATGCCATGTACAATAGTGTAATTTAGAAAGAAAGCAAATTGAAGAATAACACCTTGCTTAGTCTTCCAGCATGCTCCAAATAATCCTTGCTCAAGCCCAAATCTTCCTTTCCTCAGAACCCCTGCAAGTGACTGCAGCTGGTTTGTGCATTTGGCAGACAGCACAGTTGCACAAGTCTAGGCTGTTTATCTTCATCTGGAACTGAGCTTGGCTATGACATTCACAGGGGCTCATTCATATTTTGTAATTGTTCATATGATTTAAAATGGGCCTTGGTAAATTTGTCAAGACAAAATCCTTAAAATAAAACAAAAAGCACATTTATATGAATCATGCAGATATCTGCATATATCTTCACAACACAGTTCTATTTTCTAATTTTCGAATTTTTTATTTTCTAATTTTTGAATTTCTACCAAATTCATCCTAATAATCTTTAGATAAAATTGATTATTGTGTTTTACTTTTGTGCAATAACCCTTCTGAGCAACAGTGTTTTCAAAACTGCCGAATTTTTGCCGAGTGCCACTCCATCCCCAAATTCTCATAATTTTAGAACATAAGAGAATAATTTAGGAAGAAAATCAAAATGAAAGATTACCCAAACAAAGCTCCTGTCTATTGATTTCTTCTTTTTGAACTAAAAGGGCATTGAAAGGCATCATAAAAATCTGAAAAGAAAAAATTAAAACACAAGTATTTTTAAACATTGACAATTTTTTATGGTTATATCTTGAAAATATATCCAGTCTTTAAAGTGTCAGATTTTCTTTCATCTCCCACAGTTTGTTTTATACTTTTAAGATAAGCTTTAAGAAATGGATGATAACTTCTTGTGCCAGTGTAAAAACCACACAGACAAAGAGCAGGCAGATGACATCACAACTTTTATCATTTTTGGTGTTATTTTTAATTAGGTGATGCTCAGATGATGAAGTAGCACCATTTTATTAATTACGCTTATATATCTTTCTCTAAATTATTTGTCTGCACATTGAGAGGGCTATTAAGTCTCTTCAAGAGCCCACCCCATCATTAAATGCTGAGGGGAGAAGGAGAGAAAGCCTTCCCAAAAGCAGAGATTGGATGATGATATATTCCATGTAAATGGAATTCCATTTTCAGCACGTACTCAGTGATGTATGAGCTCAGAACCCGACTCACCCTGCATGAGAAATAGGAATGGCTGGAAATCAGCTGCACTGCCAAATGGGAAATCTCAGAAGAAAGCACCACTGTTGCTCAGCTCAGCTGATTTACATCAGGAAGAAAACATCTCTCCCTTCAGCAGCTTGCATCTATTTTGCTCAGCCTCACAGTCTGTATTAAATGTTTTGACCTTGGTGACACAATCAGTTGAAACAGAAAACATGGATGATAAAACAACAAAAACAAATGGAAAAACTAAGGCCAGAGTAGGAGCCTATCTATTTTAAATAAATCAAATAGCCATCTAAAAATAAAAGTATGCTTACTGGCTAAATGTGTATTTAGGTATCTCAAATAGCACAGGCTCAATTTTTCAAAAACTGCAAGGATAACCTATCTCGGTTGGAAAATTATAACCTGGATTTTGACCTTCAATTACTCAGCCTGAAAAAGTCATGTGTCTGTATTTATTGTAATTTTTGTTCTAAGTGGGCTAGAATTAGTTCATAACCATTTTTATCTCAACGAATAAAGATTATTTTAAATCTTTAGTCAAAAGAATACTCATATTTCTTTATAAAAATAGTACTAAGACTTCCTTATTTTCATTTCTCATTTTACTCAATGAAATCTAATGACAATACCAAGTTTTTGTCTTTGAAGGTTACCAAATACAATGTCTAATGAATCCTCTTGGCTGTTTTATATTTGACTATACCTACATTTATCCCTAGCTCAATACAAAGCTTTAAGGTCCAAACAGGAATTTCTCCTGAGTTAATTTTAAACTGAATTGCTGTCTTGGGTTTTCAGAGTAAAACTGACAGCTTCACTCATCTTCAGAAGCCCAAGTTGAGAATTTATTTTATCCTCTCCAGAAAAATTCTTCATTTCAATAACATTTATTTTTCTTGTTGCAGTCAAAGCTCTAAAATGAGATTCACTATTATTTCACGCAATGGAAACTTTACTGCACACTAACCTGTACTAGAGTGGCTGCAAAACACATTTTCTATTTGAAGGAGCAAAATTTAAAATATGTGTACATTTAATCATATAAATCACATTACTCAATATCTCCCCAATATTCTACTAGAACCTAATCTCTAAATGAAGTTTATGACCTTTGTATTTCTCTGTCATAAGTCATAAAGTCTTATTTTTATAACCATAATTTTGAATTATATCATGACCTTTAATAGAGGACATTGAGAAGTCACATGGCCCTTGAATAGGTGTGAGTTATGAGTTTATTTTAGCTCCTGGGGAATGCAGAATGTAACACAATACAAAATACTGAGGTTATGTAGTATATACATACAGATATATATATATATATATCCCTGTGAATTTCTCCAACAGGCAGATCATCACTTCCTTGCAGTAATCAGTGACTGCTTAGTATGCAAAAGACTTAATATAAGAGGAGCTAAAAGACAACAAGGGCAGCTAATCTGAACATGAAAATGCCAGAGAGATTTTTTTAAAATATTTTCTAGGTTTTTACAAGGGCTAGTTGTCATCTGTCACGATTTTCAAATTAAGTGATCCATTTCTCTGCTGAAAATACTCCAGAGGAAGCAGGCAATACTTCAGAATTATCTTTTAAAGGAGCAAAAATAAGGTATACACATTTCAAAATTCTCAAAATGAAAACAATTGAGGAGGCAGAACCCCAGCTGCACTGAGCAGACTTACATCACTTTATACAATTATTTTGTATTAGCCTGTTTCCATTATGTTACCTTTATATGTTAAGGCACTGTGCAAACAAGAGCTTTATTCAAGAGCATCTATTTTAACATTTTTAAAGAGCTCTGATACCTTTTTACTCCATCATGTTTGCTATCTGCACAGACTGAGAGCCTGCTTTTTATTCTTACATGGTGCTTTCAGTGTCGAAAATGACTCATGCCAAGTCATCAGAAGTAATAGAAATGTTGTACAGCGAAAAAGGGAACGCTAGAAAGAATGTTTATTTCTGGATTCTTTAACTGCCTAACAAAAATACTTAACCTCATGTAAGAAAGAAAATAATTCAGTTTTTACAAAATCTTAAGATGCTTAGCATAAGTTTCTAGATGGAGAGTAGTAGAAACTAAATTTGATGAAATTTTGTAAGCTCTATGAAATATTGAGAACAGAATAGACTATAATGGTTCTATTCTGTTACATACAGGATCATTTAGAATTTAATGTTCAGCTCTGCAAATAATTTACTCAGTAATTTGAGGAGCAACCTAAATCACAGATTGGGTCATTCCAACAAATCATGCACAGGTAAATAAAAATTAAGTATTAAATGCAAGTACTTTGAAACCAAATATAATCAATCTTAAACTTAGTGAACAGCAGAGGTGGAGTCCAATCAAGAAAAATCTGAAATAGTTAAAGTTCTGATTTATTTAGAAATTGTACTTCCATTATCCTGAATTAAATCTTTAATCTGTAAATTATAACATTAAAATAATCTCAGCTCAGACAGAATACACTATTATCAGGAAATTATGCATATTCAAAATTTAGACTCTATTTGTAGTTGTCACATACTTCATTTCACAAATTTAATAGCTGTAGTTTCTCAGTTTTTGTTTTTCTCTCCCTTTGTATAATTTTGCATTTTTCCCTCAGTTCAGTTCTCTGATCTGTGGCCCATCCCTGCTTTCCTCTCCTCAATAATTAAATTCCCAGCTTCATGACTGAGGCATGACTATGCTTTTCATTAGTGCAAAGCTTTTCTTTTTAACTTTGCTTTTGTTGCAGATTCATGAAATGCCTTTTGAAACTTTTCAAGATGACACACACTTGAAGAACAGATGAAAAGCAGAGGAAAATGAACAGTAATGAGCTCATTTCCAGAGAAAAGCTATCATTAGCATGTGTTTTTTTTGATTTCTCAAGAAAACCCAAACTTGTCTTGGGTGCAGCTCCTCCCCTTGCATTCAGGAAATGCCCTGTGCCTGGGCAGGGGTGTGGGAGATGGGGAATAAAAATTTAGTAAGTATCTTTTTATTGAAATATCACTTTATCACTGAAAACCCAATTTAGAGGTGAATTAAGGGAAACCGTAGCAACAGTGCTTCCAGTTTGCTTTATTCCTTACTGTTTCTAGAATTTGTTTGAAAGAATGGTGCAGCAGAGGGTTTCATCAACACCCACAGCAGGACAAGGAAGAGCTAAATTTCTATTTTTCTCCTGGAAAAGCCATGACCTCTCAAAAATTTCATTGGTGCGTTACTTCAGATCAG